TAAGGCCTACGTGTTGCAACAGGAAGGCTCAGTACATGCAGGGCAGCATCGGCAGCGAATGCAATTGAAGTCAGCGTTATGCAGGGACGTAAATAAAAAGACAAAACACACTGACCTCACAGCGAAAGGTCCACTGAGATGCTTCCTGCTTTCTGTGCCTTTTACCTGCAGAGCACAACAATCCTCAATTGGATGCACAATTCATTCTACAACAAGCAGGTCCTTCCTATTAGATCTAAAATGCTTTTATAGTTTACGCTGGAAAACATCCTGATACTAAACCAATCCATTCTGCGTGTGGATGTTAAAGCCCCTATTCTGTGCAGGCAGGAGATGGATGCTGAGGCAGGATTCAGAGCAATGCCAGACTGTGAGCTTAGAGGATAGAGAGAGGGAGCGAGAGAGAGAGAGAGAGAGAGAGAGAGAGAGAGAGAGGAGGAAGAAAAAAAAGATCTGCATGTAGCAAATGGGAGATAGCTGCTCACCACATACACACCCACTAAGTGGAGCATCAGAGAGGATGCTAGGGATGGCTTTCACAGGCAGGATGCTGTTACCCAGAGATGCACTGAGGCTTCTGCTCTCTCCTGGGAGAATGAGCTCATTGCTAGCATTCAGCAAAGCTCCTATCAGCCTTTGCAGAGTCACTGCAGCCAGCATCTCAGTGCGGGCACGTCATCAAACCGACACTTATAAAACTGCACAGCTTCCCCGTCACTGCCAGAAGGGAGAGAGCGGGAGGAAAAGACGTCCGGGGCGGCCGCTGCCAAATGCTCGCTGGGATGCCTGCTGTGCCATGCAAATGTAATGACACTAATGCCAAGGCTTGGTTGTTGGCGTGAGCCCCTGCTCTGGGTGGCCATAGCTTTCCAGCAGTCTACTGCGGACCCTCGAGGTTAAAGGAGAACTATGATATGAGTGAAAAGCACTCACCTCATAGTTCTAGCCGACCTGTGACAATGAGACTGTCACAGGTCGGCTCAGTAGATCGGGAGGTGAGCGAACACATACCGGGTTCGCTCACCTCTCGATCCTGTCACGGCTCTCTGCCGTGACAGGGGAGGGGCTGGATTCCCCTCTCCGATCTGCCAGCGCTGATGGGGGAGGGGCGGGTACAGCTGGCTCTGCCTCTCGATAGGCAGAGCCAGCTGTCACTCACGCAGCTGGGCGGATCCCGTCGTCTAAGTCGGGATCCGCTCCGGCTGTGGCGTCTCAGTATACTGCGAGCTGTAGCTCGCGGTATACTGAGCTTAGGGTGACAGGAGGACGCTAGTTTGTGTCCTCCCGTTACCCTAAGGAGAACTATGGGGAAAAGCACTGACCCCATAGTTCTCCTTTAAAGCAAACCTTGCACCTAGTAGAACTATGCCCATTCGAAAATATGTGCTGCAGCACTAAATAATGAAGACATCTGCACTGATGGTGCAGCGGATCGCAAATACCTGTTGATCCTGCCAGTGAAGTCCACCTAATGCAGCTTCCTGTGATGGGGTGGCAACTATGCTGCACTGCTCCTGAATTCAGAGCAGGGTTGCCACTCTCATATAGGCTGTACCTGCTTGCACCACAGTGGGATGAGATGTTGCAGGGGGCGTGGCTATTAACATTGTCAGTGCTGATTCAACTGCAGCTTGCCAATCAGCACCTGGCCACACCTTGCCCTGCCCACTGCTGTCTGGATTGGCGGCACTGCCTTTTGCAGAAACCCTCTCACTGTGAGCTGCAGTGTCTGAGGGGGGGAACGGGTGAGACACAAATGATGGAGGATTTGGCTCAGGCAGGGAAGGGAAGGAAGTGCTTTGTTTAGTTTATGAGGCTTGTGCAGTACCTAGTAACTGGATTTGGTACTTGTTTATTTCATCATACAGGAGCCTTTAGTTGTACTTTAGGTCTCGCCCTTACCCCCTTGCTGAAGTGCAGCACAAAACCTGCTGGGAGAGGAAGTTCAATACTCCTTCAGGGCAGGGACTGGTGTGGATTAGGGATGAGCCGAACACCCCCGTGTTCGGTTCTAACTCGAACTTTCGAACATGGAAAAAGTTCTAATTCGAACTTAGAACTCAATGCAAGTCTATGGGGGTAGAACTCAGAAAATTAAATGTCCCCATTTTGAAGCCTTATATGCAATTAATTGGCCATAAAAAGTGTATGGGGATCCGGGTACTGCCCTGGGGGACATGTATCAATGAAAAAAACACTTTTAAAAAATACAATTTTTAAAGGAGCAGTGATTTAACATCACTTAAAATGAAACATTAAAAATAAAAAATTCCTTTATATATGGTGCCTGGGGGGTCCCCTTTCACTGACCGTAAAGTGGCACATCTGTATGATGTATAGAACCTGCTGAAGCAAAAATACAGAAGTCTGAGATATATATATATATGTTATAAGTCTATTATAACTCTCTATAACTCTCTATCTATCTGCTGACTGTAACTAACTATACTAGAACCCTCTCTCTCTATCTCCTACAACACACTACATGGGGCCGCGGTGTCAGCAGCCTTATATAGTGTGCTGCAGGGACTTAGCTGTGAGACATGATTGGGCAGAGTCATCGTGACTCTGCCCAATCATGGCTCTATATTCGTACTGAGCCCTGATTGGCACAGTCTTGCACCTACTGTAGCCAATTACCGTTTCGGACGGGCGCAGTGCATTGTGGGATGTCCCGCGGTCGAACAGACCGCGGACATCCCATAATGTTCGGCGAGCGCTAGAACATGCTATGTTCGAGTCGAACAAAGGCTCAACTCGAACGTGCAGCCCATCCCTAGTGTGGATGTGACACTATGTCAGCTCTATATAAATACCTGTAATAAATAAATAGTATACCTGCCTGCGATGCTGAGGCAACGGTGACATCATCTTCACCCATGGAATGCAAAGTAGCCCAAATCTCGCTGAGATGCCATTATATGTGCTCGCTGAAGCCAGACTATTTATTCTATCGTATCGTACATACTTATTATATAGTATAGTACATAGCTATTATATAGTATAGTATAGTATAGTTCATAGCTATTATATAGTATAGTAAATAGCTATTATATAATATAGTATAGCGTAGTACATAGCTATTATAAAATATAGTATAGTGCATAGCTATTATATAATATAGTATAGTGCATAGCTATTATATAATATAGTACATAGCTATTATATAATATAGTGCATAGCTATTATATAATATAGTACATAGCTATTATATAATATAGTATAGTGCATAGCTATTATATAATATAGTACATAGCTATGATATAATATAGTATAGTGTAGTACATAGCTATTATATAATATAGTATAGTACATAGCTATTATATATTATAGTATAGTACATAGTTATGATATATTATAGTATAGTACATAGCTATTGTATAGTATAGTACAGTATAATACAGCACATAGCTCTAGCATAGTATAGTACATAGCTATTCTATAGTATAGTGGTGTGAAACTACAAATCACATCATGATTGTCTCTGGGAGTCATGCTTTTGGCTGTCAGAATCTTGCTATGAATCATGGGACTTGTATTTCCACAACAGCTGGAGTTCCCCTGTATTAATGGATCCTGTGTAAAGGTGCCCATCCATACACCTTACAATTATCGTTCGAAAAACAAATGCGATCCGTTTTTCGTACGATAATCGGCCAGTTGAAGTCCATTACCGTGCATGCGTGATGATGTCACACCACAGATGTCACAACACCCACCCTGGTACCGCCGCTGCTCAAGATTCTGCATACTTTTAATGGGTGCGGTGAGTGAAGGAAGGTGGAGAAGTGCTGATCTAGAAGTGTCTGGGCAGAGAAGTGCCCCCCTGCTGCAGGTCTCCTCCCCAGTCCACAGAGCAGCTCAGGTCCAGCAGGGTCTGCGTCCTGGAAGGGAAATACAACCATGCAGGTAGTCTGTAGGTCCCATTCATGCCAGGCCCGGTGCTGACCTGGTGGGGCTCAGAACTAGTACAGGAGTGATGCCAGTACTCCCGCCATTGTGACAGAGGGACTCATAGTACTCAATGAAGAAGTGTGACACTTTGACTGCATTTGTAGTCCATCCTTCCTCCAGGCCAGGTTTCACCCGGTACGCACGTCATTACGTTACATGTGATGTCATTGGGCACATGTGTGATGACTTCACGTACACTTCACTGCTGCCACCCATCTTGGTGATGAACACCGGCAAAGAAAGCAGTGGATTTATGTCGGAATATGGTATGCCACCGAGTTCCCGCCTCTCACATGCAGCTGTCGGTCTGTTGGTCCATGACCAAGAGCCAAACTTTTCAGAGGGGGTGACACCAAAATCACTGTCAGTCATCATGCTGTCACCCCCTCTGATGGTGTCACCCGGTGCGGGCCGCACCGCCTCTACTTGTGACGCCACCGGGCTGGAAGAACCGTCTGCAGATCATTACACCCCAGAGCCACTGATCACAATTGCAATGCTCTGCAGCCTCCAATGCAAAAAAATAACAAATGCACCTTTTTTCTTTTTGCATCCTGAGCCCATTTATTACATTTTCTGCAAAAAGTGGTGTATTCCTTTAATTCCTCCCCTATAAATAGACACCGGCGGCTCTGCTAGGGTTATATTTGGAAAGTCTGTCAACAGGAATCAATGAGCTCCATCCATCTCGCTGCCCCCGAATGACATCCCGGCAATGACACGACGCCAGTCCCCCTGCAATGTCCCGTCATCACCCGGACCGGAGAGAGAGGAGAAGAAGCGACCGGCCAATCGCTGACACAAAACTCGCAGAGAACAAGTTCAGCGAACAGCCCACCAATAGGAGCCGCCGATGTCATTCTACAGGCAAGGCTCCGCCCACCGCAGGGAGGGTGGAATGCGGGGCCGGCCAATCAGGTGGCGGCTACGTGTGCCGCGTCATCCATCGGAGCTTAGAGCAATAACAATAACAAGCTCAGTGACAAAGACAGCTGCGGCAGCTGCGGATGTGTGTGAGCAAGGCGTGAGATCCCGGACACAGCACCATGTCTCATCAGGAAGGACACAGTCTGCAGGATGAGCCTCTGCAGGGTGAGAGGAATGATCACATCATTGTATATTGGGGGGTCACACACTGTATATGGGGGTAACACACTGTATATGGAGGTGAAAAACTGTATAGGGGGGGTCACACATTGTATAGGGGAGTCACACATTGTTTAGGGTAGTCACACATTGTATGGGGGGTCACACATTGTGTAGGGGAGTCTCACACACTGTATAGGGGGGTCACACATTGTTTAGGGGAGTCACACATTGTATGGGGGGTCACACATTGAATAGGGGAGTCTCACACACTGTATAGGGGAGTCACACATTGTATAGGGGAGTCTCATACACTGTATATGAGGGTCACACATTGTATAGGAGAGTTACACACTGTATAGGAGGATCACACACTGTATAGGCGGGTCACACACTGTATATGGGGGTCACACACTGTATATGGGGGTCACACATTGTATGGGGGGTTACACACTGTATGGGGGTCACACATTGTATAGGAGGGGTCACATACATCAGCCATGGCAACCCCCATTGGATCATGTGTTGCTTGTCTGTGTTTGTGGGAGGCTGAGCTGCCTCTGTGTGTCTTGTCAGCAGTGTTATGAGTGTGATTGCTTTTCCCAGGCTGGTGTTTACATGGCACGGTGTTTCCTCCTAGTCAGCAGAGCTGGATTCCAGCCACCGGTGATGTCACTTGCAGTGTCCCCAATTGGTCACTATAGGTCTGCCCTGCACCCTGGAGCAAAGAGGGGGTGCGCAGGGTGCTTTGCAGCGCCGGGGTCCTGAGTACAGATCCCCCAGGAGTTGTATGATTGAATGGTCGCCCCGTGTTTGTTTGGGGGTTACTGCAAGCAAAGAGCAAACTGGTTGCTTCAAGAAGAACTCCAGGTGATCTAAAAATTAGCCCTTGCAGTGGGGCTACCCTTGGAATGTAAGGGTTAAGTTCTGGTGTTGGTCTACCCCCCCCCCCCCCCCCCCCCCCCGCAGGGGTGAAAT